GAACCTGGCAAATTTTAGGATAATCTAAACTGGCTTATGACTCTAGCAAGGCATATGTCAACAGTTGAGGTGTAGAACTATTTTAGGAGGGGTGTGCAGAGAATTCTTCCATTCCCCAGTGAAGAGTAACTAATCTCTGTCTCCTACCTAGTAAGGTATATGTGAGTCCACACTGTTTCCTGTCTGGTTCTAAGCTTTCCTTATTGTTCTCTGTCTATCTATTCTGATTGTGTTTGTTTGTTTGTTTTGGGGTTTGTTTATTTGTTTGGGGTTTGTTTGTTTGTTTCTGGCAATGACCCTGATGGTCATTGCCAGAAAGGCTGGGGATCCAAAGTTGGAACTAAGTAAGGACCAGAGAAAGCTCCTCTCCTGACTCCCGAAAGATATTTGCTGTTCTTCTGTTTCTACAGACTGCTCAGGGCTCCTAGCTGTAGTTCCGATGGCCTTGGGTCCTGTGAGGAAAGATTTGGGCTTCCTCTATCCCATGTGGTAGATCTCAATGGGGGTGGGTGACCTCAGAGTCCTGGGCCTCCGAAGGCACTCCAATTCCCAGCGGTCTCTTTGGCAGTTGGAATTTAGTCCTTGGTACCCATACTGATAGTCCTTCTTGTAGATCCAGGGGTCTCCAGGGTTGGGATACAAGCCTCCTCCTGTCTAACTGCTCCACTCTGGGGTCCCCCTGACTCTGTGCATATGAACTCCTGTTAAGAGGTTGTCAGGATAGCTCTTGACTCCCCCTATATGTCTTTGTAGTTTTACTATTGTCTAATGCTGATTCGAGTCTGCTGTCTATGAGTTACCTGCTTTGTTCCTGATAGGTTATGCTTCACATCATCCTCACATGCTCTAAGGAGATTGAAAACTTCTCTGCCCTCCCGTCCCATTACCGAGTAGCATACAGTCTTAAAATTATATTTTACAATTCTTTGATGTAGGTCACAAGCAGTCTGACTCACATTGGCTGTTGGTTCATTGGTTACATCACAATACCATTGCATTTGATACAGGCTATCTGAGGTTGAAATAATATTATAATTTACAGGTACTATTTTGACATCATTTTATCTTAAATTAAGGCAAACATGTGGTATTTAACCTTGCCCATCAACAGAAGACTGGATAAGAAAGCTGTGGTTCATTTACTGCATGGAATACTACTCAGCTATCAAAAAAAAAAATGAAATTCAGTTCTTTGTGGCCAAATGGGCCCAATTAGAAACCATTATGCTAAGGGAGATGAGCCAATCCTTACCTCACTCTTCCAGCTCAGTGTCAAAGGATGAGGTCCCACTGCTTTGCATTCCTAGGCTGGCCTTGTCTCGCTTCAAATCCCTGGAATGATAATGTGCCAATGAATCCCTCTATTCACTTCCTGCAGTAACAGAGCCACGCTCCCACTCATCCCCTGGGTCACACACACACCCCTGTAGACATCCTTCTGGGATTTTCCATGCCCTGGTATACGTCTGCTCCTTTTGCTAACGCACTCTTCCTCATCTCTCCCAGCTTCCCCACACCAGTACCATAGAGACAGCATTTCTAGCCCATTTCTAGACGATGATGCTAACAGTAACAGATTCAAAAAAAAAAATTTTATGGAAGGAAAGATTGAGAATAATGAGAATGTCTTAATCATTCTTGATGTATGAATGATGGATTTATTTTTTGAAAATAGCTAAATATACCATAATCATAACAAGGCTGCCAAAGAGCTCATTTTGCTTACACCAACCAATCTGTCTCCTCACAGATAGAGAGATGATCAATGCCGTTGAGACAAAGGCAACTGGCCAAAAGTTCCAGAGCAGTCGATCTACTCCCTTCCTCCCACCCTCCCTCCCAGCCTCCCTGTCTTTCTTCTTTCTTATCTTCTGTCTTCTCATGTGTGTTACAGAGTTCTTCTGGAATCCCTGCTAAGGGATTCACTGTTAGCCTCCCCATATGTATCATGAGTGTTTTCAATATCCCTAAGTAGACGCCTTCACCATCATGTTAAATGACTGCTGCTCAGCTCTCCGTGACTCTGCCATCATTTATTTAACTAATCTCCTGATGTGGGACATTCTGATTCTTTTCCAACTTTTTGTTCTGTTACCGTTCATGCTCGTTAGTGGCCTTGCTAAGATCTAAGCAACTGCCACTCAGTTATTTCCTGCATTTCCCCCAACCCTCCCTAAAGCATTTTAGTAGTTGTGGACTCTCCCTTTCAAAAGGACACTGGCCAGCATGACCTGTAAGTAAATTTGGTAGTTTTACTGTAGTGTGGATAACGTACTTCAAAACTTGGATTTTAACGTTAGTCTACCTGAATTTGAATCCTGCTTCCACCATCAACTTGCAGTGTGACCTTGGACAAGATACTGAACCTCTCTTTACTTCTGTTTCTTCATCTATGATATAATACTCTTACTTATCTCATATGGGACTCCTGGGGATTAAGGAAAGGATATGTGCAAATAGCATACATGTGCCCAGTTAATATCTTCTGTTATTGATGCTAAGAGACTTACGTTGCCGTTTCATTCAGGCTTTCAAATTTAAGTTTCCATAGAAATGTGATTGCAGAGAGAACTTCATTTGGCAGGGAGGAGACTCTAAGAAGCAGAGAGAGGTGTACAATGGTTTCCAGGGAGTAAACCACATACTAGGAATGTGGCCAAACACCAAAGCTGATAAAGATGACAGAGCTCCTGAATTAGGTGACAGGCTATCCAACATGTCTTTTTAACAAGTTAGCTTCGTTGAACTAAATATAGTTGCAACACATCACTAGTTCTACTGTTGGGCAGATCCCACATACTGTCCACTGAGATGATCTGTACTTCTTGTCCTTATGGACTAGAATGTCCTAGTAAACATTTAGTTTTACTTTTCTCCTAGAATGTTTTGCTCACCCTGCTTTTCTCCTGGGAAAGACTGAGACAAAGATCCTTGTTGGCTTGGTCTTTCCATAAAGGACAAACTTGATTGTACTCACTTGACCTCCTTAGAGCTCCTCTTCTGTCAACAGTTCCTCACTGTCCAGCAGGGTTCTGGCAGCTGGGAGACCCCTCAGTGGGAGCAGGGCCTAGGTATGAACTTGGGAGCTATTTTGGGAGATAGGAAAATGTGGGGAATTTGAGGTCATTTGTTCACTTTTGACTACTAGGAGAGTACATTGAAAACATCTGAATCGAGCATTTCTCTGCATTTTAATTACTGGCCCAAGCTTTTGCTTGGTAAGAAAATGAATTCAACAATAAATCAAATGTATGAAGGAAAAAGCCAGGCATTTTTCTTACCTGAAGAGGCAGTGAAGTCTCAGACACTGAGAACAAAGCTGCCCATCTAAAGGCCTGATCTTCATTCTCAGTCACACACCAGACCAATCAAGTTCCAGAAAGAAAGCAATTCAGTTTTTTTTTTACTTGGGTAGAATTTCTTATGAATTCCTTGGCATCATTTCCTTAAACTTCCTTATGCCCTAACAATGTTACTGTGTGGCTCAGAAATGGCCAAATCTCTGGTGAGATTGAGGGCTCTTGACATGTTCACTCAACTAACCAGCAGACTGGGGAGCCAGTATTCCACTTGGGCCTTCCTTCAGAGAATGCATCTTATGATATATTCTTTATGAAGAGATGATGCAAAAATTACTTTCCAAAGCAGGAGGGCAACCAAGAAAGGATTGATCAGCCATTGCTCTCAACTCAGTACCTGCTGGAAGTTTTAGGGATACAGAAAACCCTATAGTGTTTTCATTACAGTTAGTGGATCTCTCTTAAAACTCATGATGATTTCCCGCCTTCAGAATTTCTACCTATGTTCAGGAAAAGTATAAGAGAGGAACATTACAATTATTTTTTCATGAAGCTTCAAGAAATCCAAGCCTCTTTGTGGGCTTGTAGCCAGGGTGACCCCAAGTCCAACATGACAGGAATTTCTTAGTTAAACCATGGTACGGAATGTTATATAGTCATTAAAAACAAAGTTCTGCTGTCTATTTTGATGTAGAATATTATCCATGATCAGTTCTGTATAGAAATAATGATATGGAAAAGGGGAAGCAAAAGCTCACACCACTTCTTATCACTCCTTAAGGGAACTAAGATGCATCCCAACCTCTAGAAGGCAGCAAAAAAATGTTCTAGCAGGAACTCAACCAGAATTTCAGAATGGAATGCCTGGATGTTCCCTCCAAAGAGTGGTGCTTTGTTTTCCATTTTGTTGTTTTAGAATGAAAAAAAAAAACCGAAAATATTTGTAAGCAGAGAGGAAAGAGGTGATCAAGAAAAAGGTGGTAAGCAGGAGAGCCCTGGAAGGAACCCCAAGGAGTCCAGCACCCGGAGCCGGAGGAGGGATCTTATCCCGATTGTAGAGAAGACAGATGATGGGTGAGACCCTAAGGGAGAGTCGGAACAAGCCACGCTAAGGAGAAGGCAGCAGACACCCAGGAAGTCTGCTTGTCCCAGCCTAATAGGCTCTGTCTGGGAAGAGGCTGCTTTTCCGACAGAGTGAAGGCTACCAGTGGGCTTGGCGGACACAGAAAGGTTTGGAGTAGTCACTGTGGAGAGCGTAAGTCAACCAGGGAAGATTAGCAGCCTTGTTCAGCATCCCTGAGGTGCCAGCTGAGGCTGATTAGTATGAATTTCTAAGGAAGTTAACATTTTTAAAAATTACTATTATTATTTTTCACTAGTTTCTCTAGCAGTGTGGAATCCAGGCACCAGGGGCAAAGAAATCCAATTTGGCCAGGATGATTTAAATCCACTGATGGTTATTTTGAAGTTGCAAATGAAAACTCATTGGGAATTAGTCTGAATTACATCATCACAGACATTGCTCTGTCCATCTATTCCTTTCCTCCTCAATTTTAGCAGGCAAATCAGATAACTGTGCTTCTCTAAGCAAGTAGGACTGTTAGCCTATATTTCAGATGTCAACCAGCCGTGCCATGCCATTTAAATTTCTAAAGCTTGTAGCTCATAGTTGTTTCTCATACATTATGTATTTCTTTTTAGGCTGGAAAAACTAATAATGTCCTTTCTGGAAGACCAAGATCCAGAGAGTAGGCTAGAGGTTGGCACCGACATGCGTAAAATTCATCACTGTTTTCATCATTTAAAGGTAAATTTAAGTGTCTCCTACAGCAGAAGCCATTTGTCAGCTATGTTCAAAGAGCAGGAACAGCTTTTCTGGGTGATAAGCTTTGCCATGTGAGGCCCAACACCACACATCCAGAAAACAGTGTGATCTCTGAACCAGCTCTCTGATTATCACAGCCTCTCCTCAGAGCTTGGCTCTCACTCTCCAGCAAATAAGCTCCAACTGTGAGCACCTCTTTGCCAGGCATCTCTGCTTTTTATAACCAAAGAATTGTTTGTTCAGAAAAATGCACATTTTCAAACTGCCTCAAGAAAATCATGTCCTGGATTAGTATTATCATGTTTAGCACTTTTGATTTATCTGTATAATTCCTTGGGTTTTCTTTTTCTGCCTCAGATTTTAATTGTGATACTGAGGGAGTAAGGGTACGGTTAGATCTTACTTCTACCTTATTTGTCTTTTTTGTAGACTTCGTTAAGACAGCGAGCATGTGTCTGAGTCTACCACAGGGCTGGGCATAGGTAGGGCAAAGCAAAAATAATAACTCAGAGAAAAGACGGCCATGTAAAGGATAATGACAGCACAAGTTAAGTGCTGTAAAAAGAGCAGGGCTGCATGGTGGAGAAGGGCAAGGAAGTCTAAGAGGAAATCACGTCAAGCAGGCATGCCCCAGTTTGAGAAGGACAGCTGGGATCGGGGAGAGGGGGAAAGGCCAGAAGAGGGAAGATGGACTATTGCATGCAAAGATAAGGGCACATGCCTGATGTGTGCAGGAAGAGAGCCAAGGGACTCGGGATGAGATATGCACACTGAGCTCCTGTTTTTAAACTCTCAGAAACTGCTGAATGACAAGAAGACACCTGAGAAAAGTACAGTCTCCTCTGAAACCAAAAACCAACACTGCCAAGAACCATTCAAAGAGGAAGAATATGAGAAACTGCGAGATCTACTGAAACAGAGAGATAATGAGATCAGTATCCTTTGCCAAGGGCCGAGGCACTGCGCCTACCCAGGCTGCAGAGGGGAAATGCGGGCAGTTGTGTGCGTTGGCCAGGGCCACACCCTTGAGCACCCCACCCTGCTCCCTCCTCAGAGTGCCTCTATGTGTTGAGGTGTGGAACGTTCCTTCACCAAAGTGCAGAAAACAGCAACTATGAAAGGAAAAGTTTATTTTTAGTCTGATAAAGTTGCTGAAAAAGTTGGAAAACATTTCTACTTAGGGAAAAGTCTGTGCTTTTTTACACCCATCTCCTCATGTAAATGTAATTTTTTTCTCACTGCTTTGTGGCATCCTTTCTGTTTTAGTCCTGAAGCCCCTAAGTTAGCTGGATATCTTTAGCCAGCAGACCAGACAGCAGACTGACCACAGCCTCACCATGGCCCCGAATTTGTGGCTGGTGTGTGGGTGAAACTCGTATGATGGCTGAACACTGACAAACAGTATTTCTCTTACGAAGAGCAGAGATTGATTTAAATGTAACTTTTATTTAAAAGCCAGATCTACTGCTCTGGTCACACTCCTACTTGTTCCTGAAACTGGTGGAGAGTATAGATGAGTATTCAAGAGAGAATTCTTACGACCTCCGGGAGGCTGGATGTTTCTCATGCTGAAAGTGGTAGCAGCACATAAGAGCCTGGGCTGTCTCCAGTGTAGATGAAGTGGTTACATCAGAGACCCCTGTTGAGTTGATTAGACCTCAGGACCCCCTGAGAGTACTTCAGTATTGCTTCTCATTTTATTTTTCAAAATTCTTTTAAGAGATTTGACATTTTGCTGACATCTGTTGCATTCAAACACATTAAGAAATCATTCTGGTCAATTCTTTATAAACAGATAGTTATATTCATTTGTTAAAATCATTAAAAGTCAGATGTTCCAGCTGATGAAGGTGTAAAATGTGTAAAAATCATCAGCCCAGTGGAAATCTAGCAATAAAGAGGCAAGAGCAAACTAAATGCCGGGTAGGCACACTGCCTGATTAACTTCAGTCTCTAATTTTAGTTGAGACTTAGCAGACCTGTTTGTGGGATGTGAGTGAGTTTTAGCTGCTTTGTTATCCAGCCAGTAACAGTAGGTTCAACTGTAAATTCCACCCACACACAAGCTCTGGCGTGTGAGGGCTGCCCGCAAGTGTTGTCACCCTTGCATTCCTTTTCTTCTCTCTTACCCCATCCATCTCCAGGAATGGTCCCAGACGGGACCTCAGTCTGGCCCCAGCCCCAAATCTGAGCCCTGCTTCTTTTCCTGGCCTTGTTCCTAGTCTAGGATCTTCTGCTCTAAATACTCCTACCCACTTCTTAATCCCCTTCTGGTCTTACGAACGTCTGTGCATAGAGGAGGGTTGAAACAAGACATGACAGGGCAAAGTCCGGGTTTCTCCGTGTATGTTTATTTTTAAAGGACAGTAAGAGAGAGACATACATCACCATCTTTCCAGGTATGCTGTTCATATGGCTACACTACGCTCTTTACTGACTGTGAAACTCGACACAGCTTCCTTCCTCTGAGACCTGCATCCATAGTGCGTGTGTATAAGGAAGCAGGATGAAAAGAATACTGCATATGAATTTATAGCTTGGTGGAAATCCTAGTTCCTCGTGGATTAACTGGCTAATTACTCTATGGCCTGTTTCCTCTTCTTAGAGAATAGGGCATAAAACCAGACCCACTCACCTCAGCAGGCTGAGCAGAGTCTGGACCTGAAGTGCTACACCATGGGAGCTATCACTGCTTGGACAATAGGAGATCGAGAAGAAGCATAGATTGCAGCGAAGATTTAATCTGACATCCCAAAGGCTCAAGGCTCAGAAAGGTTCTTGAAATCTCAGAGTTCTTGAAATCTCCAATGAGAAAGATTGACTCCAGGGGCACACAAGTAATATTTGAGTTGAACAAGACAGTAAAGTAACCGAAATGTATTTGAGTGAGATTGAGCATTCTTGGAAAGAAATGAAATGAAAATAATGCTGTGTCAGTAATGATATCACCTTGAATAAAGTTCAGACCCTCCTTGACAAAACTTAGAGCAAGGTGTCATTCTGTGTCCAGTAAGTACCTGGTACAGAGGCCAAAGTTACATGGGAATGGATAGGAAAAAAGGCAGGAAAGGTGAAATAGGAGGTGGCAAAGAAGATAGATATGTATTGTGATCTTTATAAAATTTAATCAGAACATGTCATTTCTGTGATTAAAATCTCAGGGTTAGTGAGGGTGGAAGACATTTAGCCTAGGGGTTAAGATGCTGCTGGAAACACCTGCATCCTATGTCCGAGTGCCAGGTTTGCATCCCAGGCCTTTCCTGATTCTGCTGTCCTGCTAAAGTACACCCTGAATGGCAGAAGTGAAGGCTCAAGTGATTGGATGCCACCCAGCAAGAAAGCTGGACTGAACTCATTCCTTGCTGCCAGTCTGAGACACTGGCATCCCATATGAGTGCCACTCTGTCTCCTGAAAATTCCACTTACTGTTCAGCTTCCTGCTTTTGTTCCTGGGAAAGTCACAAATGGTGGCTCAAGTGCTTGGGTCCCTGAAATCCACAGGGGAGACTCAAAAGAAATTCTTGGCTTCTGACTTAGGCCTGGCCCAGCCCTGACCATTGTGGCTATTTGGGGAGCAAACCAGCAAATAAAAGATCTCTCTTCCTTTCTCTCTCTCTCCTTTGCCTTTCAAGTAAATAAATCTTTACAAAAAATAAATAAACATTTACATTTTTATGAGAGAACAGAAATTTATCTTAGCAGTTAGAATGCCCGTGACCCACAGAGCAGGAGGTAGGAAAGGGTGCCTGGGTTTAATTCGACTCCAACTTCCTGCCAGGACAGTCCCTGCAGTGCAGCAGTGATGGCTCAGATGACGGGGTTGGCAACACCAAGCTGGGATACTTGGACTACACGCCCAGTTCCTGTGTCTGGCCATGGCTCAGCCCCAGCTGTTTCAGGTATTTAGGAAGGAAACAACAGATGGAAACTCTTTTCTTCTCTGTCCATCACTGAAAACAAACAAGAAAAACCCTTCACAGGGCTTACCATTATATTTAGAAAAAAATATAAACTTCTTGCTCTGGTTTATTAGACTGTACATGATCTTACCCATCTGACTTTATTTCTTTTTTAAGATTTGTTTATTTGTATTGGAAAGGCAGATATGAGTTATGGAGAGAAGGAAAGACAGAAAGTTCTTCCATCCACCAGTTTACTTACTCCCCAAATGGCTGTAATAGCCAGAGCTGAGCCAATCCGAAATTAGGAGCCAAAAGCTTCTTCGTTGTCTTCCATGTGGGTTCAAGGTCCCAAGGCTTTGGGCTATCCTCCTCTGTTTTCCCAGGCCACAAGCAGGGAGCTGGACCCAGCCCTTGCATGGTGAGGATTTAGCCATTGAACCATTGTGCCAGGCCCCATTTCTTACATCTCATCCCCATATGTGTTGTGCTTCAGTCTTAGCAAGAGGGTTCCTAGTCTTGGCATTACTGACCTTTTTCCATCCATGTCTGGATAATTCTTTGCTGTAGGAGCTTCACCTATGTATAGTAGGATAGAGCACTGGGAACCACTTTAATGTCCATTGCTCTCTAAGGATTTGGCCATCATCCACTGCTTGGATGATTTTCCTGTGGCTGGCTCTTTACATCTCAGTTTAATGCCACTCTTAAAAAGAAACACCCCCCCCCCATTTTTTTTTAGCACTGAAAAGCCACTCCGTCACTTTTCACATTTTAAAACTCAGCTACCTGGTACTGCCACTCTCTATTAATGTGAGTGTTCATGTACATGTATGTGTGTATGGGAGCTGCCTTCCAGTAGGACATCTGCTCCATGAGGGCCAGAAGGTGGTCTTCCTTTTCATTGCTCTATGGAAGTGTCTAGAATAGTGCCTGGCTCTAGTTCAAGTGCCCAAAAAATCACTGATTTGATGAATGAGTGAATATTGCCACAGCACTGATGATCAATGGTAACGTGGGGTATCATTTTGATTCCTCTCTGTTCCATACAGAGAAGTGGAAATGTGGGCAGGGATTGTGAGAGAAATCTGATTTTGCTTCTAGAAATTACCAACAAGTTAGAATTAAAACTAAAGAGGAAGATAGAAATCTGATGATTTCCCTGCTACTTTTGCCCAAGAGTCCATGTCATCTGAGTATTTCCCTTCCTCTCTGAATAGCAATCTTCTCCCACCCCATCACACATTTCCTTAGACTTTATTTCAAGGAAGCCATCTCTAGGAATGATGAGGTCTTGCATTCCCTTTTCTGCATATGCTGTTAAAGTTCTGAGATTCTCAAAAGAGGTCATATGTAGCATTTCCTCTCAGTGAAAGATGGAACCCCTTGAGCCCAGAATGAACAATGAAGTAGTGTGGAATGGAGTGTTTTGTCACTAACCATAAATGTTCCTGACACATTACATGGTTTACAAGGGAGACATTTTCTAAATACCATGCTAATGAATCATTTATTCTCAAATCCATTGGAAATAAAAGTTAGAGAATCAGAGTTGACTTCCACCCCCTGTTTGAACATACTTCAAGCCAGAATTGGACACGAGGGTGGTCTTGCTGTATTTGTCACAGTGCTGACCACCAAAATGGCCCACCTGCCTGCTGGATTGTTTTCACTGTTCTTTCTCTTTTTCTGCTGCCAAGGAGGTGATTTGTCAGATTAAAGAGTTAATTACTTATCTATAAGTAAGTGCCTCCATTGCTTACTACTATTCCATGTTCATTTTACTTTTAAATGAACGCTTTCATAAAAACATTAAGACTTTGGAAGATTCTTGGATTTATTACTGTTTACTGGAACTGACCTCCTCAATTGTCCATAACTGTGTGTAGGACTTGAGGAACCTAAACTCTTCCTTTGTCAGTCTTTACTAAACGATAAATACCAAGGATTTGGGGGGTTGTTAGTTGCATTTGGAACCTTTGTGTTTTGATCTAAATTTGTGTGTGTGTGTTTACTCTAAAGTGAGTAATTGAATCTTTAAGTCAAGCTCAGATATTCTGGTCAATATGTTAAAAAAGGAGAAGAAGAAAGCTCAAGATGCCCTCCAGCTATCTGGCATGAATAGAGGTGAAGTAAGTCACTCCAGGAGCTCACCCTTCCCACCCAGAACGTCAGAAGGGCAGAAGACATCACTCTCCTCAGCTCCCACCCAGTCCCAGGACCTCAGCACATTGGAGTACAGATCCAGTTTGCTCCACAAAAAAACAGGTTAGTCTGAATTCCTAATTTTCCTTACTGCTCACAGTAGATTTGAATCTGGTATGTTTAAATGCACAAGGATGAAGACTCCAGCAATTTATTTGATAGAATTATTTTACTGAACTAGTGGCTTTTATATATATCAATAACCGATATGAGAAGAATGAAGTATGAATTTCCACAACATTCATGGACAAAAATGAGTAGCCCAGGGCAAGGATAGAAAAAAATGACTTTAGAGAAATGGAACAAAAATTTATATAGAAGGGAATGAGGTCAGAAATCACATTACTAAAATGGTGGTGATGATGGAATATTTATATCTTTTTTTGGAAAAAATGGATTAATTTTTTTTTATTTGAAAGAAAGACTTACACAGAGGAGAGACAGAAAGAGAGAAAGATTTCCCTAATTGGCCACAACAGCCAGAGCTGAGCCAATATGAAGCCAGGAATCAGGAGCTTCTTTCAGGTCTCCCACGAGAATACAGGGGCTCAAAGACTTGAACCATCCTCTGTTGATTTCTCAAATCATAAACATGAAGCTGGATCAGAAGTGGAGTGGCTGGGACTTGAACCTATACCCTTATGGGATGCCAGAACCACAGATAGAGGATTAGCCTGTTGTGCCACTGCACTGGCCCCAAGGTGTTTATTTCTAAGTCGACATGTGCTTTCTGAGGCAAAAACAGTTTAGAGATATCATCAAAACTTTAAAGGATAATAAATTTAAAAAAAAATGGACAGAAAATAGAACTGACATTGTTAGGCCAACTCCTTGGCACTTTCCCCACTTCTGCCTTTCAGTAAGTTGGACAGTTGCACTCCTGCAGAATCCAGAAAAAGTCATGTTGGTATATAGTCGTCCCTCATTCTGTTAGAACAGCTGGGCATTTTATCCAGACCTTTGGGAAATATCCTCATCTGCTTGAGAGCTGGACACAGGCTTGGGAAGGGCCCTGAAAGCAACTCGTGCTTCTGGTAAGCAGGCACACCTGTAGCAGTGGCATCGAGCAGTGTATATCCTAGCAAGCAGAAGTTTCCTGATCCTTCCTCGGCTGAGTATTATGGGGCATACAGTCTTCCTGGATTTCATGTAAGTTACACAGCTAACTGTCCGCTCCCTCTCTGTATTCTAACTTCCTCATGGGAGTTGGCTACGTACTCCACAGCATCCTATCTGCAGAGTGAGTTTTGCTACATCTTCAAGTCAGCTCACAGTAATTTTCTATTCTGTGTTGAAAGTGAAACACCAGTTCGTACCTAAGTGGTAACATAGGTTAAAATTTTGTGTGTGAACATCTATTTGAAATGAATTATCTGACTTGCTGATGTCCAAAAGGTTTTATTGCCCAGGAATAATTAAGGAGTACTATCCTCATTGAGAATCACGTTTTTAATTAATAAATTCAGGATTAAGAAGCATGGAAATGTACTTCATGATGTCATATGTCTATCACTGAATTCCAAGACTCCTTGCTTTGAATATTTCTTCAGCAACACAAAAAGATAAAATCAAAACGCAAAAAAACCATAAATGAAGTTTGGCCATTTACCATGCTATCAGTAGACAGTGAAAAACCAATGATTCGTCTCTGTGTTGCCTTACTCTATTGTGGGTAATAAATGGTTGGGAAAATGGAGGCCATCTAGATTGCTTCTTTTTTTTAATTCTGTTTTTGTATACATGTTTTCCATCATTATTATTATTTTTTGATACAGTTCCATATGCCCTGGGATTTCCCTTTTCCCCTTCCCAAATCCCCTCCCTTTCCCCATTCATTTCCCCTATATTATTACAATGGTATAGTTCCTCATACTCAGTCATATGTCCATACTTGCTGGCATGGACAATGGCAGAGAGTCCAGTATCCTATTGTCAAGATATATTTTACAGTTTCATTGAAGTCCATCTTTGATGTGGAAGTAGAGATGCATACTGTATTGTATCCTCACATCTGTATATGATAGTCTCCATTACACAGTTACTATACCTTCCATTAAATGAAAAGCTACAAAACAAAATCAACAACATGAAGAAAATAGAAATTTATGCCATGAAGTTAAATAACATGCTACTGAATGACTAATTCGTCACTGAAAAAATGAAAAAGAAAATCAAGAACATTGTTGAAGAAAATGTGGTTATGAGTCAGTGAAAAATTTTAAAAATTTTTAAAACTTTAATATTAGAAAAAAAAACTGGTTTTGAAGAAATGAAAATAAAAACAAAAATCTCAAAATCCATGACATATACTTTCTGCTGATCTTTTTTGGTAAAACGTGTCTGCTCCAGGCAGGAGATAGATGGGTTTTGTTTTTTTTTTAATCCAGTTTACTAATCTATGACATTTGATTGATGGGCTTAAGCCATTCACATTCAGGGTTAATATGAGTAGGTAGTAACTTGGTCTTGTCAGTTTAGCAACAGGTTGTTCATTGTTTGATTTAGTCTTCTGTTGTTATTTTGCTGGGATGTTCTTCACATTTGCCTTTGGTTTTGGTGGGTGGTATTCCTTTTCTCTGTCAAGAGAACATCTTTAAGTATTATTTGTAGGGAAGGTCTGGAAGAGGAATATTCTTTGAGCTTTTCTTTGCTATGGAAGAATTTTGTTTCATTTTCAAAGATAGAGAAAAGCTTTGTTAGATACATTATTCTGGGCTGACAATTTTTTGCTTTTAGAATCTGGAATATGTCATTCCATTCTCTCCTGGCCTGTAGAGTTTCCTGTGAGAGTTCACCTGCGAGTCCGATTGCCATTTCTCTATAGTTCAGTTAATTTTTTTTCCACATGCACATTTAAGGATCTTTTCTTTATGTTAGACTGGAGAGAGCAAGAATTATCATGTGTCATGGTGAAGATTGCTTTTGGTCAACCTTGTTGGGAGTTCTGTGCCCCTCCTGGATGTTGTCTCCAAATTCTTTCTCCAGGTTTGGAAAGTTTTCCCTTATTATATCATTAATTATATTTTTAAATCCAGTTTCTTTTTCTGCACCTTCTGGAACTGCCATAACTGTTATATTTAGCCTTTTAATAGCGTTCCTTAATTCTTGAATACCTTTTTTTAAGCTTGATCCAGCTCTGCTTCCAGCTTTTTGATAGCTTCCCCATTGTGACAAGAAATATCTTCCAATTCTAAGATTCTTCTGTCTCATTCATTCTATTATGGAGAATTTCCACTGAATTTTTAATTTGCTCTATTGCATCTTTCATTTCCAATAATTTGGATTGATTTTGTTTCAGTATTGCTATTTCCCATATGACATATCCCTTAAATTTCTTGAACTCTTATATTATATGCTTCTAGTTTTTGAGAAGCTTTATAGGGAGTTTTCTGAATTCTGTATCCCCCATTTCCTTGATGTATTCCTCAATTAATTCTGAGGTTGGCAAAGGCTTTTGCTTCTTTACAAGGGAGTCTTCAGTAATATTCATTGTGCCTGTGTCTTTCCTTTTGCTAAGAAAGGCCATTGTACTTCTAGTTAGCAGATTCTCTCCTTGGGGCAGGTTTCTAAGTTCTGTCACCCACAGGTCTACAATTCAATTTTACTTATTATTGATACATGGCTCTTTGTTTGCAATCACTTATGCCACTCCCTCCAGTGAGTTTCAGATCTGGGCTCTTACGTTAGATTTCCACCATGGTCTCCATAGCCCAGCTACTGGCTCACAGCTTTCCCACTCCTATGAAACTGAGCTGTAGCTGCACCACTGTTGTCCAACGTTTCTCCCCTTCCAGTTCAAGCAGTTCACAGTATTAGAAGACAGCAGGTGTCCTAAATAACTAGTTTGTTGTTGGTGGTGATCTTGCAGGAACCTGTTGGCCATTAGGTCTGAGGGCCACACGGACTTATTTTGAGTCGTAAGATGCCAAAGTCAGTTTTATTTTCCCTGTGGGACCAATGCAATGCACTGAGCTGGAAGTGAGTTTGTTCCCAGCTCAGTGCATGTGAGCTCACTGTTGTCCCTCCATTCTCAGTATTTGCCACATTGTACAAACTGGCCCCTGATGTGCCACTTGTGGAGTTCTATCTGCTGACCTTTAGACCTGGGGACTACCCGGACCTATTTTGGGTGGAGCCTGTATGATGCCCTGCTGATGCAATTCACTGAGCCCAAAATTGAGTTTGCTCCTAGCCTAGTGAATGCACAGTCCTGTCCCCAAATCTTTGCCTCCCTACACAAAATGGCACCCAATGTGGCTTTGGTGGGGGTCTGGGCTGTGAAAGCCACCCTTTTCCCACACTGCCTGTTTGGCATCTGTTGCTCTATCTCTGCTCTTGGTTGAATCAAGCAAATCAGCAGGATGGGCCGTTCTTTGCCTCAGTTCACCTCCTGAGTTCCCAGTGAATTCCCTTTCCCATCTGGCTGCTGGTGGAGCCATATCACCATTTGCTGACGTCCACTGCAGTATCTGGTCATTGAAACACCACAACATTGTCTCTGCTGCTTTCCTGTGTCTGTCAGTCTCCAGATTCCCCTCTGCCATCAGCCTGTCTTTTCCTATTCTCCAGAATGTGCTCTCTCTGCTTCACTCTGGCTAATATTACTCCATCTGTTTAAATGTGTCCTTTCCCTATTCCGCCATCTTGATTTTGCCTGGATTGATTCTTTATTCTGACCATCAACTTATTCATTCCTCTTTCACTCAACATATATTTATTGAGCATGTGCTTTGTTCTAAGCATAGTTCTGATCATCATTATTAAAAGCTTCCCTTCTTAGACAAACAAGACAAGGTACTTCTCTAAATATTTTGCTTGAATTAACTCACTTAATCTTCATCCTAAGGGACAAGCTTTCATCTCATCTTTGTATTTAAGGTGAGGATTGTCCATGTAGAAACACCGCCTCTGACCTGCCCTTACAGAGTGCAGGGAAAGAGAGTCACTGAACAACTGAATACAGAAGTATACCTCTGTGTTACTAAAGGGGCACATACCAGGAGCTCTGCTTCCTTCCAGTTAAGACCAGAAAAGCCCAGACACAAGTGTGAGGGTACAAGTGT